CAGCACCTAATGCAATTGCAAATTGGTACCAAAAATCATTACTACATATCTGATGTTGCGCTGACGCGTTGACGATTAACTTGACGAATTGTGTTGATGTGTGCTTCGCTCGAGAAGGCAACGAAACACGACAATTAAAATTGGCATTAAAGGAGAAAGGTACAAGCATTTCAGGAAATCGTTGCGGAACGAGTTAGATTCTGAAGGATGTGCATGTATGTACTTCTCCGAGCGGGTTGAAAGAGCGATTTTTAAGTAATACATACATACATAATTTTTTCAAAGGAAACAATTAATCTGTTAGTCGAACGTGTTTAGGCCGACTGTACCATTTTAGTGGTAAGTTCGATAATCTTATATTCATGGTACGTCAAATCGATGGATACTGTTTGTATGAAAGTTACGTCTGTGCATTTAGAAATTCCTAGGCTTAAATAGGCATTCAGTGTGTATGAGTAAAAACAGCCTTCTTAAATTTTATAAATTTATTAATTTATTTTAGTTTTTTTTTTTGTTTTACTTCATTTTTAATTGAGTTTCAATTTGTTTTACTCTATTTAGTTCGTTTTATATTTCTTTTTTCATTTTACTTAAATTTATTTATTTTTTTATTTCGCTTTATTTCATTAAAAAATATTTCATTTCATTAAGCTTTATTCATTAAAATTATTATGTTATATATAATTAAATTTTACTTGATTTTTTATTTTATTTTGTTTTTTTTTTTACATTATTTTATTTTTTTTTTTTTAATTTAATTTAATCTAATTTTATTTTATTTATTTTATATTAATTTTATTTTAATTTATTTTATATTAATTTTATTTTAATTTATTTTATTTTATTTTATTATTTTTAATTTTATTTTATTATTTTATTTTATTTTTATTTATTTTTTTTATTTTATCATTTTTAATTTTATTTTATTATTTTATTTTTTTATTTTTAATTTTTTTTTATTTTTTTTTTTTTATTTTATATATTTTTTTATTTTATTTTTGTTTTTATTTTTTTATTTTATTTTTTTATATAATTTTTTTTATTTCGTTTTTATTTTATTTTTTTTATTTTCTTAATTTAATTTTTTTTATTTTTTTTAAATTTTATTTTTTTATTTTATCTTGTTTTATTTTAATTTTTTAATTCATTTTATTTTTTATTTGATTTTATTTAATATTAATTTTTATTATTATTAATTAAAATTTAATTAGTTTCGGTAATTTTAATTTAATTTCCTTTTTTTAATTTATTTTTTTTTTCTAGTGTTTTAATTTTTTTTCTAATTTCATTTTATTTTATTTTATTTTATTTAATTTTGCTTCACTTTATTTTATTTTATTCTATATTATTTTACTTTATATTAATTATTTTTTTATATATGTATTTTTAATGATTTATTTTATTTTCATATTTTAAATTCTTTCTAATTTAAATTATTTTTTATTTTATTTAAGTATAATTTATTTCATTTTATATTATTTAATTTTTATATATATATTTTTTTAAATATTTATTTTATTTTAATTTTTTAAATTCTTTTAAGTTATTTTTTATTTTATTTAAGTTTAATTTGATTTTATTTATATTATATTAAGCCATTTTCTTTTATATATTTTTGTATGCTTTTATTTTATGCTAATTATATTATATTAACTCTATCTTTTATTCTTTATTCATAATGTTATTTTGGACTTATTTTATGTTATTATAATTTTTTTTAATTTCATTATTTGTCGTTTTTATTTCATTTCCCTTTATTTTAATTAATTTTTTTAATTCAAATTTTTAAATTTTTTCGAACTTATTTTTTTATTTTATTTTTATTTTTATTCTTTTGTTTTATTTTTATTTTATGTTATTTTATTTCATTTCATTATAATTGTTTTGACTTCATTTTGTTTCGTTATATTATATTTTTTTTATTATATTTTATAAATGTTTAATTTTTCATGAGAATATTTTTTTTTATATTATCAGCAAACACATATTTTTTCGCTAATATTTCATTGAGTTAAACGTAAATTTTTTAAAAGGTCGAAATCATGAGCGAATTCAATCTCTGTTTGGGGTCCTCGCTTTCTCGTGGCAAATAAATTATGTTACGAATATATACAATACTATTGCAATATTAATATATATATTTCAAAACCTCGATATATCTATGTATATTATATAATATGCGCTACGAGAGACTAAATTTCTTTACAAAATTTCATAATTCACCGTGTCGTCACAACGAAACACCTGAGAAATTACTCAAGTGGACTGAAAAACATTTATAACAAAAAAAAAAAAAAAAAAAAAAAAAAAAAAAAAAAAAAAAANAAAACAGCTCATTAATTTCTACATACCAACATACTACAAGAAGACGCAAACGACTAGACTTGAAATTTTTTCCCAAAAAAAAAAAAAAAAAATATAAAAAAAGCCAACCAACACAAATTTTCCACAAATCATAAACGAGTTCAAGAAGTACAAATACACAAAGGAATGTTGTTAGCAAGTAACTTTTTCAGTATTTAGCTTTTCGGGAATTCTGCATCAGTGCGCAGATGTAAATGTGTACATATGTATATACATTCAATAATTTTTTACACTATAACTCAATGGAATTAATTCTTTCATTCATGGAAGCCTTAGAAGCGCAATTTTTGTTGCTTATCACATTAAAATTTCAAAAAAATTTAATTTTAGTTTTGAAAATTCAAAAAAAATTCGATCCATTTAAATTAATCTAAATTGCTGCATTTATGTAGGTATCTAGTTAATGTGCTTGTAAATACAAATGAATGTAACTCTGCTGCGCTAAGAGCAAAATTGAAAGTATTCAAACTCATTTAAATTTTTTCTCCCCATTTCACAAAAACGTTGGTGCATAAAAAACGCACAATTAACAGTGGTAGTAAGAGTAATTAACATAATCATAAAACTGATTTATGAATCTTGATAGCTACTACAATTACACACAAGTAGTTAGACGAAGTGGTGGGTAACGAAGTGAATGTAAAAGAAAATTATGCTTACTCAAATACGGTACAGGCATACTGTGTATGGCTAACCCCTAAGGGTAAGCAAACACACAAAGTTTTATTTTAGTGTTGTTGTTTTATTACTCGATTTTATTTACATCGTAAAACCATAAACGCATTATAAGTATATATATTAAAAAAATGCATAATATATGTATACAATATACATAATAAAATAAAATAATGAATTTTTTATTTTGAAATAATTTTAAAAATAGGCAGTAAATAAAATGTATTAATTTTATATAAAATACACTTCACTCATTAAGGCAGCAATAATATATTTGGCGCCTAAAAATAGGCAATACTATTTTTTGGATCGAAATTAATAAATTTCTTTTATTAAAATAGATCTTGAACAATCAATTTTTCCTTCCTTGTAATTAATTTGTACACAATATTGCTACATAAATAAGCAGTCATTTCAACAGAAATTAATCAAAAATAGAATTTTTTAGGTTTTAATAGTTTAAAGTTTTTAATGATTTGTTTTGTGTGTTTTAAAATACATATGTATGTAAATGAACTTAAGAACTCCCAACTGTATATGTACATTTCAACATGCTCCTAAGAATTAGCACACACTCACACGCATACATACATATCCACATAAAAACACAAAACCCACTAAACGCTCGATGTCACAATGTTTGTGTAATTGCAAATTGCAAATTAATGCCTGCCAAAGTGCTTAACAAGCTCAAATCCGCGCAACACGCCAGCGCACATGAACAAAACTACCCAATGTTAGCACAATTGCTGATTATAGGGAACTACAAGCGTACGTTGAAAATCAAAATAGAGGAAAAAACAACAAATATACATACATATTATAACAACCGCAAAATAATTCGCTACAACGAACTCGAAATTGTATTCGAAACCGTAAACTGGAGCTGGTTGTGTTGGCTTCGTAAAGATGTTAGGCAAGCAAAGAAATGAGGGAAAAATGTTTGTCAGTAGCAATAAATGTGATTGCAGCAGCTTGTTCGTTGCACATTTGCAATTGCCAAAAATAGTGAAATGGTTAAAAAACGACAAAGCAAGCAACGAAAAACAAATCGGCAACCAGCAGCGTGAAAGGTACATTGATGCAGCATTATTGCCTTGATTTCAATGCAACAATGTATGAGTGCATATATAAATATGTACATAGAAACATACAAATATATTTAGTATCTTGTTGGTGTTGTAAGTAAACAAATAGAAATTGTAGGTAAGCGAAAAACAGGGGAAAAAACGATCATTTTATCGTAGATTAGAAGCAAATTCCCATTTTACCAAAGAGAGGTCAATAAAAATGGGCAGTTGAGCTTCTTTTTTGGACTTTAACGCGGTCACAAATTTTCTTGTTTTTCTCGAAATTGCTTTGGCGCGCATTGTCTAGTCTTATTTTTTATCCTTTTAAGGTTTTTTTTTGTTATTATTTTTTTTTATTTTTTTTTTTGAGTACTCTGTCTGCTGTGTCCACATTACAACAGTATCGGTACGTTTCACCCATCTATTTGGCTTTTTGGCCTGAAGCATTTCGGTTGTTTGGATGTGAAATGCAAATACAGAGATTCCCACGAATCCTAACGGTACATGTGTACGATCTATTTTATACATAGGTACATTTATTTTATTTATTTATTTATTTGAGTTTGGCCATAATATAAACCAGCAGGAGATGCTGGCTTACAAAAAAAAAAAAAATGAACTGGGCATGGAGTTATGCTCATGTTTGGCAATAAAGTGAAATTCACACGTTCATTTTGGTTACAATAATATATTGCATTAGTTTACCATAAACCGAGCAATGGGAACTGCACCGCATTTATTATGCTATGTAGTGCAAATTATTGCTAGTTACTTGTCGTACTGGCGGCATCTGCTATATCTTGACAAAGTACTGTCGACACATTTAATTATAAGAATATTTTGCATTTTAGTGTTTGTTACCTTAAATAAATAATAGTCTGCACCACTTACCTTCGGCTTTGGTGTATGACAAACATTATATGAGCCCAACATTTCATCTTCATTAACACCTTCTTGGCCAATGCTACTTCCATCAACACCGGCCACATCATAATCCTCAATTACAGCACTATCATCGACGCCATATATAGCGAGTGGGTTTGCTTCCACGGGTGGTGCGTATATTGTATTTGCGCTTGACGTAGCATAACTGACGCGTTTGCGATTTGATTGTGCCAACTCTTTGTCACGCTTTACCTGAAACACTTTTCGTTCAAATTCTAACAAATTCTCTGTTGTCGGCTCGGCACCATGTAAATTAGAAATACTAAAAGCCAACCACTGTTCCACGAATTCAGCAGCGTCATCCACGCGATAGCTAACGCATAGTTCCAGTGCTTTTATTGTAAATAAAATGTTATGTTACATTTAATTTCATAAGACAGTCGTTTGCTAATTAAAATTAAACTCACATTTAGTGATAACATCTTCGCTGACCTCTACACCCATCTCCTCGAATTGTTGTTTGATTTCCACATCCATTGTAAATTGAAATTATTTGTTGTATTAAGTTTTTATAAACAAATGTGAAGACGCAAAAAGCAAAACGTTGGTGAAACACAAGTATTGTTTTGTTTATTTCAATTGTCAAATGGCATGGGAATTTCGCGCCAAAAACGACAGCTGTTTTATGACAAATTGCAAAATTAGCTGCGCACAGCGACATCTATGTGTTAATAAATGAGTTGTTACTCGATGTACAGTTCAAAATGAAGAAGGAAATACGTACTGTATTTCGCCATCAAAATTATTATTGGTTTTAAGACGTTAAATTACTTCCAAATCCTTACTGTTAGTTTAACGAATACACTTGTGGTAAGAGATAAACAAACCTCAAAATATTGGTCTGGCAGGTGAAAAGCAAAGTAAATTTCCACACGGTAGTAGCAAGAATACAAAAACATAAATCCTATGTATTTTGTGTTTGTAATCATAGATTCGAAAAGTCAAAAACGAAAGTCGTTCAATCAATTTTGTTTGTGTGAACGAATGTAAAAAGCGCCAAAACCTATTTTTCAAGTATTTTGTTTGTGTAATTTGTTGTGAAGTAAGAAGCACAAGCAATTGTATGATGTGACAACTTCACGTCCTATAAATTCGCCTTGGCAAGAAGTAAAGGAATTTTGCCAGTTTTCAACTTTTCCATCTTTTATTTGACTTATTTTTATTTTTCTTTTTACTTTTGCCATAATGGCTTTTATGGCATTACGAATACTGCGAATGAGTATGATTGTGGTTAAAGAATTTACACAACCGTTCAAAAGTATTTTTAAACATATTGCTAAAAACAACAATTTTTTCCGGAAATATATATGCAAGCCACCGGCTTATGGTAAACATATGTACATATATTTAAATACGCTAATCCTTCTTATATACATTTATTTTTTAAAAGGTTATGAATGGTGTGAGAATACCCTACATATGCTAATTACCAAGGATACAAAAATTGAGCCCTTAACCGAGAAAGAACTCATAAATTTGGGGTCGGCAATTTGGGCGGAAGTCGTAGTCTTTATTGGATGCTCAAAAGTGTTGCTTTTAGAAACAAATAGGTACATACATAAATAACTATACATCACATGTATGTATGTATATAGAATGCTTTGAAAACTTAGCTTAAATTCCTGGCTTATATACATACATACAAATATAGGCAAGCAAAACACAAGGAAACTACAGATAAAGAATTTCTCAAGCAGGAACAAAATATAATAGAAGCTGTAGAAGTTTTACAAAATATACTAAAGCAACAACAATTTTATATAGAACAAATTGTAATTGTACTGAAAGAGCTGGGTAAGTCTTTTGAAAATTTAGTTTGTCGTTACGTTTGAAATTTCATACCGAATCATTTAGGAAAACCAATCAAACATATAGAGATGAAGACGCATCAGGCGCATGATGCAAATGATGTGTTACTTGAAATATAAAGTTACCAAGATGCTAAGAGAACTTTAATACTACGCATGATAATTATACCTTGTTTTTTTCTTTTATATACATATATTCATAATTTTGCATAACAATAATTTACAAGTAAAATGGTGATAATAGTATTACCAATATTAAAATTGGCTATATTGGGAATGCGTCAAGTAGCACGACCTGTTAGCAACTTCATACGCAAGGAAGCTAAACAGAGTAAATTCTTTCGCGATTACATCTGTATGCCACCAGCTCAGGGTAATCGTTTGTTGTAAAGTGTATATATATTTACTTATTAGAAAATTTTCGCTCACCTTCAACGGAAAGGTTTCCATTGGTGTGAAATTACCATAAAGATGCTACTCATGAACTTGGGCCGCCCTGCGAAGGTGGAACCACTCAACCAAGCAATGGCCATTGAGTTGGGTGCAGAAATTTTGGGTGAACTAATTGTATTTATTATTGCTGCTGGAGGATTAATTTTCGAAACTGCAAGGTGAGTAAAGATGACTGTTTGTAAGTGGTTCTCCAATAAAAATCAATAAAAATGTGTATTTTAGGCAAGCAAAGAAAAAGAATCTGGAAATGAACAGTATTAACGTGCATAGCTTAGAATTAGTTGAAGCGTTGAAAGTATTGGAATATCGACAAAAACGTCAAATGGCTTATATTGAGGAGATTACATACGCTTTAGCAGAATTGAGTTAGTATAAACAGGGTGATAGTTCAGAAAAATTGTGTTAAATACTTACTTCACCATTTAAGTTATTATTTTCTTTTTAATTCTACAACTAGACCTCATATTTCTATGTTAATTACACTCTTTTACTGTTCTTTAGATGAACCAATTACTGTGAAGAAAATTAAAATGGAAGAATTTCGTGAAAAACAGGATGAGCTATTTAAAAATGTGCCAGTAGAATATTTATTTGACTAAAAAAGGCATGGGCTTCTTAAATTTAAATTTTAGCTAAAAACTGTAAATACCGCTATTTCACTTTTATGCTTGTAAATCATTTTTGGCCTACTGGTTTATAAATTTTAGTGTAAATGATGCTGCGCTCTCTAATCAATTTTGAACGGAGCTAGAATTATTGCTGCTACTATACTGATAAATTAATCACTTTGTTAGGCCAGTACAAAAACTGGCTTGTTAAAAGAAAAAAATCACCGAAAACAAAAGGGAGAGAAAAGATGCACAAAACCTGTAAAGCTAAGGCGCGCAATTAATTTGAATATACAAAACTTTTGTTGATAAAATAAAGCTAAAAGACATGTTGACAAGTTAATAAAATTCAAAAGCAACACAAATTCCGTAGTCAATATTTAGCTGAATCAAAATCTTCACGCTTAACGTTTGTGCGTTGTGTGGCTCATCATCCGCTTCTGTGGAGATTCTGACTTTTGTCTGCTTTATTGTCTCCCTCTCATCTCTGACGTGATTGTGGTGATCTCTTTGAGCTTAGCTTATTGCCTGACTTTCGTCAAACTTTGCGTTTGTTTATCAACGAGTGTCGTGTTGAGTAGAACGTAAAGACGCAAACGATCTTTCGTACGGAATTTCCAGCGGTTTCATTGATTTTAATTGGAAAATACACACATAATTTTAAGAAATATATGTAAATATTTTTTTTTTTTGCAAAATTACATAAATCAAAATGAAAAATATCTTATTTGTATTCCTATGCTGCACTGTTGTAGTGCTACAATTGACCCATGCGGAGGTCTTGTATCCGGAACGTTTACAAGTTGATAAGGAAAAGTCGAATACTGCCGTAAGTAAGAGCCAAACTGTATACACATACCAATTGCCAAATGAATAAATTAAAATATTGATTTTTAAGCTTAATCAAAGTAAAAACAGTAAAAAGTTCGCAAAAGTGTGAATAGTATAGTATGCAGATTTGTTGAGAGTATATACATACATCTTTTTAATTGCAATTAGGTGTTAAATTATTAACAAAAACGTTGGAGCTTAGAACATTTTCTAAATAATTTAAAACATAAGACATTAAAATATTAATATTTTGGACTACTTACTGTTGTAAAAGATTAATCGTCGAAAAGAGCTTCAGGAATATCCCACAATAAAAGCTGATAAGAAAATAAATAATTACGTGTAATTCATAAACATATACATACTTATGTACATATTGTAAAACCTCTCACTAAGTGATAAGAACATTATTTTGTTTAATAATTACTTTTATTTACCTACCTCTACTATAAACTCCAGGGCCGCATTCCGCATTACTCACCATCACGTTGTAGAACTAATGAATTACTGTATCCTGGCGATCATACCGACGACTGGATATGCGATTGTGCACCGGGTAATTTATCATTATATACATAAATCTGTGTGGATTAGTTTGTATTATTAGTTTTTTTAAAAATTTTAATAGCTACACTATATCATCCCGATTCGGATGCTTGCCATCTTGCCTTCCGTCGCGGCCCATGTGCAAACGAAGAGATGCTTGTGTTAGCACCAGGTGAAGTCTTACCGCAGTGTATAAAGAATGCATGTAAGATAGATGGCATGGTGAAAATTAATAATGTTTGCTATCGCATTGGTCAACCGGCGCCCTGTGCAAATCCTGAATTATCGTATGTGCTTGATGTTAACGAAACAACGTTAATGCTGGATTGCATCAAGTTGTCTGTTTCGGTAAAGACGCGTGTAAGCCTAGACGACGATGAACCGGAATATGATCTGAGCAAGGTTAATTTCTGTGCGCGTGGATCACGACGGCTGATAGAAAGTCGCTGCACGCCGAATGCTAAATGAGCTTTGTATAACTAAAGCGCATGTCGAATTTAAAATTGTATTTTATATTTCAAACAATTTATTTTTTAGTAAATTTAATAAAAAAAAAGTATAATTACTAGATGTGTTTTTTATGCATTTGTGTATACGAAAAATTGAACCAAATAGTAATGTGTATACATGATTTTTACTTTTCAAAACACCATATTAACATTTCATAATATATACAATATACATACATATGTAAGTAAATAAAAATCAACTTGTATTTCAGGTGGACGTTACAGCATTACGTTTTCGCTGTTTGGTTTCTTTGTCTGAGTTAGGTGCAGTTTCTTTATCTCCTTCTAAAACTACCTCCTCACTTGACAGGTCATCTTCTTCTACTATGTCAATATTTTCTTCAACAGCTGCTTCCATCTTTAATAAGGTGTTTTCAAGTGATGCAAGGAAGGAACTTTGACCATATTCATGCCACTGGCGGAACTGTGTAAACAATGTTAGCATCTGACTAGGTGATAAATCACCGAATTGTGTGTAAATATTTAAGTGCGGGTAAAAGTCTCGATTGCTCATCGTTGTGCAGCGGGACGAATATTGTGGCAGTAAAGCTACGTCTTCATCATCATACAGCGGTTTTAGAGTTACCGAAGGTTTATTATTGATAATTAAACGTGGCCCACACCCCGGTATCCATTTCCTGAAAAATTAAATCAAACTTTTAAACTTAATCCATTATATTCCAACTAAATTCTTACTCCAAATTTGGTATTATACGATTACGACGACTGACACAGTTCTGTTTAACAAAGTACCAAAGTGCTTGCAAATCAGCTATGGGACAGAGGTCGTAGAAATCTCGACGTGGTACTATTCTTACCAAATACAAGTACTCTGGATTAATAGATGTCACCTGCATGTATGAAATTATATAGTTTTTTTCTTAATTTGCTTTATAATGAAATTCACATTACCTTTGTTAAACGTGCACCTTTTACCACTTTTCTTTGGCCTTGATTGGGTAAAAAATGTTCTCGTGGTAAACGAGTAATGAAACGATACTCGAATAACATTTGAAACAGCATAGAAGTCGATCTATAAATCATGTATCCAATGTCGTTGCTGCAGGTCAAATGCTATGATACAAATTTTAGTTTATATATACTTAATTAATTGCGATAAGACTCACTATGAAAATGGGTGGTGGTACAACAAGATACATTTCAAAACGACCATGACTGAAAATACCATTTTGGAAGATAATTGAATTTATAAGGTGTTTGAAAAAGTTATAGCAGCCAACAGCGCCAAATAATAAAGCCGTTGGTTCTGAAAATAAACTAAAGTCAATATGTTATCAGGTGTACTGCTACAACTCACCATCGGTGTATTCGTGCTTAGGCAGATCAGATAAAAGCTCAGCAACGCGTGTGCCATGATCCATTCTGTCTTGATATGCTAACCTCCATAGGCCCACTATGTCGTTGTGTTTCACTTTGACACGCTCTGGATACATTGCATGCAATTCACCGAGTGTGGGTAGGAAATGATCCATAACCTCTACTAGTACTATTTTACGTAAACGCTCATCGCGATTCAATAGTTTACGTGTGAATAAACCAATACCAGGATTCATTTCAATTGCTGTGTCACATTTTGTTTGTTGCAAAAAAGGTTCAATAGATTTGTTTATTTCATCCGCCAAATGCGTTTCGGCTACATAGAGTTGTGCAGGTACTTTCTGCTTTTTGTGGAATAACTTATCAGGAAAAAGATTGGCATGCGGTGAAGAGCCTTTTAGAACAAAGCGACGAAAATGTAACATTATCTCAGAAAAAGCCATTTATCTCGACTGTTTTTACACATAAAAATTAAAATGCATGTGTTCACTAACAAAACAGAGGACTTTTTTTGAAATGCAAAAATAATATTTACGAATTAAAATTAAAAGAAAAAGGCACAAAATAATGCAATTGGAAGCGATGCATGCGTCACTTAGCGGTGACTAGTAGTAGTGTATTTTGGCAATTGAAATTAGAACAATATCTAAAGAACGTAAAATGTGAATATAAATTAATAAACAAAAAGTTTTATAATAAATACTAACTTAAAATTTCAATGAAATAACATCAGCATTTTGAAAGACTTTTTGTCACAGTGAGCGGGTAAGGGAGCAATAATATTGCAGGGCTGCTTTAAAATTTTGCAACTTTTCACATCCCTTTAAAGCAAGCAAATCAGCTACGAAAAATATTACATAAACTTTAAAGTAGTATGCTTCCAATAACTATTTTTAACATTAAATGGCGTTAAATTCTTTGCAAAGCAGCTAATACCAGAAAACTAGTTGCTACTTTTTAAATAAAGTTTCGCACGAAATACCAATAATAAAATACAACCCTGATGACTTCTTCAGATAACGTATACGATTTGTACGTTCTTTGAACAAATTACAAACGAAAAAGATTTCGACTGGTCGAATAGTGGTGGTAGCGGAAGAATAAACTTAATGCACTCTCGATACAAAACCAAGAAAAAGTGTTAGAAAATAAGTTGGGCAGATAAAATAGATGCAGATATTGTACAAAATATTGAATTAAATTGCATTTACTTTAGTTGAGCGAAGAAAATAAACCAGTGCAAAGTGTTATGGCTTTCATTTGAAGGCTGAAAGAGTGTGAAAAAAGGTGTGAAATGTTTGAAAATCAATAACAAAGCGAAATTGGGAAAAGTGCACTTTTACTGGAGTGAATCTCTAAGTTGAGAAATTCTTATAAGTATAAAGTGTATAAAAGTGTTGATTCATAAACCAGTAAGAATATAACAAATTCTAGTTGAAATGCATGAAGTATAAAGCGTAAATAGCTTTGTAGATTATCCGTAAAGAATAAGTATTTTTTACCAATCCAGTACGGGCGTGAGTTTGAATATATTTTATTTAACAAGAATAATCGGTACGCGAGTTTTTGACCATTACATTACATTGCCACAACGCTTTGTATAACAAAGTTCATTGCGTCCCGGCTTTCGTGATGTGAATTAATTATTTACTTTTTCCCTTATTTTCCGACATGTGTATGTATGTATGCCTGTAGTGCTTTTGCTGCGTTACATGTACTCGTTCACTGCTTGAAAGGTACAATTTTGAGCGATTTAAAATTTAAAACAGAGAAGTGGTTTTAAGAAGCAAATGCATGAATAAGTGACACATGCTTAAAAAGTGATCATAAATAAAGTTGTAAATAAGGTCAATCTATAGCAACCAACGCGCTTGCTGGCTTACTTATTCAATGAGCATATGAATTGGTGAATCATTATTGTAAACACAACACACAACTCTTTGTTGTATACAAAAAACTGCTTTAAAACCGGGTAAAAAATATAGGCAGCTTGCCAAACAGCCACACAAGCACATAGTGAACTACTTTAACGTGGCCCTGTGAGCGTCGTGCAGCTTTATTACGCCATAAGAACAACAAACTTTTGCAACATTTTGTTATTCCTGTTACTACTTTGCCGTCTGTGCGCAACCTCAAAAAGTGTAACCAACAAACCAACAATTGCCACACACTCCAACGCCATACAAAATAAAACATGGATGTTGCGTCGCGAGGAGGTAAGTGTTCTGAGGGTACCTACATGGTAATTTAATCATGTTTCGGTGTATAGAAACCAATTTAAACATACAGAATAAATAAAAAAAACAAAATTAAAAGAATTCTAGCTACATAACTAACGATTGTTGCCATTTTGTGTGCGTTTCTTTTTCTCTTTTGAAACTTCCTTGTTGCTTATTGCGGAAATTAACTGCCTGTGCATTTAACACGGTTATGGTTTTCAGGTTTCAAATTTCATTACAATTATGAAACATAAAATTCGTTACTTTATTATACCTTTGAAGTATACAACGTGTGGTTATATACATATCATCATAAATAAATGTTCAATCATTGACCCAATTGTGTCAATCTGTTCGTCAAATTATTTCCATTTTGGTCAACCACCTACGTACATGCAAGCGTCCAAACGGCAACTGTTTTGCCGCAAACAAGTTTATTTGTAAACTCGGTCAGATGTCATAGCCATTTGTATGCAGATATGTGCGGAGGTACAAACAAACATATGCACATTTGACATACTCACTCCTATGTACTATGTGCATGCTCAGTTAACATTTATGTATGTACCTAATGTAATGATTTTGAAGCAACTGTGCGCACATCTATGAATATGAATCAAACTTTTGCAAAATATTTATGCAATACCGTTTCTAAACATATTGACGCCACGGATTTGCCATAGTTTACTAAACTCTTAGTTGTAATTATGGCTAATATTGTGTATGTGTATTGTAGCAAAAAGCAATATTTGCTCGTTTAAAAAATTTTTAGCGTTTGATTGAGTATCTTCATAAAACAAATTAATGTAAAAATAAATTACCTTTTTTAGTTGCTTATATATGTGTTTAGATATGCGCATATTGGCTTTACGGTTAAAAAAAAAGCTGTTTTCTTTGCTATAATCAGCAATTATTTTTAAGCAATGAAATAATATCTTTCTCCTCACCTTGACAAAGGCGCTTGCTTGCTTATGTTCTCATATCTTATCAACATTTTTAGGCCAGATAAATACAAGGCTGCTTATTATAGACATTGAATATTTGTATGTATGTATGTACCTAGTTATAAAAGCGAAGAATAACCAAATACAAAAAAAAGGTAATTTTGTTTGCAATAAAATCTGTGTTTTTTTTTTGGTACAATACAATAAACAAACTCAAAATTCGGACAAGCTTTCAAAGAAATAATTCTTTTATGGCATCCGCGATATCCGAATAGTAATTTTGCTGCCAGTACTGGTTTTCGAAAGGTCAGGGTTCTAGTCCTGCTACGACCAAAATTCAAAAATTATGGCAAATTGATTAAGTTAATTCTCCTAATTATGGTCGCGCCTCGGCAGGTAATGTCAAGTCCGCCGAGTGGATTTATGACATAAAATAAAGGCTTATCATAAAAAACCATCACACGTACTGTAGATCCATTTGTTGGTAAAACATCATGTATATATATGTACATATGTATATGTAGTCTTTCATAAATCAATAAAAAAAGCTATAATTTTAAACTATTTTTTACAAATTTGTTAAGCTTTCAATTATTTTCCCAACCATAAATTCAAATCTTTTAAATAATTCGACTTGAGTCGTGCTCAAATATCGGCGTCAATGGATTCCTCTAATGACAAGGAATATTTTATGGTCTTTCCAAAGTTGCTTTTGTAGAAGGTTGCGGAGTTGGAACTTTTGTCTTCCGACCGACATGTCTTACCGCGGGAAATATTCTTCAATTCCTTCCCCACAGGTGTAGAACCGGCATTCATGAGATTTGTGGAAGAGGCAGCTGCGAACTTATGACAGGTTCAACATGTTCTTAGCACAGAGTTGATCTGCAACTTACTCTACCTTTTTTTCTGTGTCTATATGACAAACATACATACATATGTATGACCTGCATTCAACTGCCTGCGTCGCATTCCATTTCTATCTTTAACCCCTTAAACGTACTCATCTAAAACCCTTTTTCCTATGTCTTAAACGGGGGCTTTTTTTAGTTGGTTTCAACCCTTAATCCAGTTAACGGTTGGCTTTCCGCTGCAGTAAAACAAACATACAAAGTTACATGTATTTTTATATGCCTACATATACATACATATATGTTGCAAAATATGAATATAAAATTTCAATTATTATATGAAAAATTCATCCAATTATTTTCAATATTTTTTCTTATGTTAATTTTCAAGGAGTGTACACTCCGAAATGAATCACAACGCGTACAAGCCAAGCCACACCAGTGTACGTGCGGCATGTTGCAAATTATGTATATTTCACTTCTAAATTATTTAATAGATTATATTTGTTTATTTGCGATAAGCCTAAATCATCTCGATGCCAGCCACACCCTCGATTTCGCCATGAATTTGTATTTACGTATATATGTACTTTGGTTTTTTCCGCGCGCCTTTTCTTCACTTGCGGCAGGCATGCAAATCGTTTAAGTTTAGGCTTTCATCTACATATGTACATACAAATATATATTGTATGTATGTAAGTGGAAATAATTTAGCAACTTCATTGCGAGTTCCAGCCGGCGTTCGTGTTGGCTGCGACGTGAATGAACTCTCTAACAAAACAACGGACCACAATTTTGTCGGATTTTACTGGGCTGAGATTTGTTGGTCTTTGTTTGTGGCGCATGAGCAGCACGATCAGCAGCAGCGGCAGCTTAGCTTAGCTGGCGCATGAGTCGTATGAACAACTTTATTATGCCAAAGTTGTCGCACATTCGTCTGGATGGATGACTGGCTGCGTTGTTGTAACTCCGTTCTCTGCTTAGCCGTGTTGAGCCGTGGCCAAGCCCGCTTGCTTAAGATTCGTACATATGATTCATACAATAAACTGAAAATCAACGTATCTACAAATTATACGCATACGAGTATACGCGAAAAGGAAAAACAGCAAAAATAATAAATAAAAAAAAAAAAATATAATAAAAAAGTTAATCAACAACAATGGCTTAGGTGTAAAAGAACAGCAAAATGAAAATGTCATAAAAGTTTTCTGTTTTCCTGTGCATGCGTTTGCCTACATACACGTATGCACATACACATGTAATGTAAATACCTGTGCATGTGCTGGTTGTTATAATATTTTGTAAATAATTTTGTATGTACACAAATTCAAATATGCATGTATGTACTTTGAAACAATTGAGCGATAAGAAGTGAATACAAGTATTATGCACTCTTTGTGTGTGTGTGTGTTAGTAATAAAAGAATACGGGGAATTCAATCAAATAAATCTGAGTCACGCTTACACAACAAATGAATATATACATAAATACATATAAGTGCATACATACACATGTATGTAGTTTTGTAGGTACACATATATAGGCATATTTATTTAAAAAATATAATATAAAGAAGGTTCAATTAAAAAAAAAACACAAAATAGTTCATAAAAATTATTGGAAAATAAAAAAATTCTATAAAACAAAATGAAAATGAAGCTTTAAAAAATAAGAGTATAAAAAACATAAAAAAATGAAAACGTTAGAACAACAAGAAAAATACTTGAGAAAATATTTTGTTATTCAAAATTATAATAAGAACACACAAACGCAAAAAAATATATCCAAAAAAAAACAACATAAAAAATGTTAAAAATATATCAGCTTTTAAAGAAATAAATCAAATAAGAACAGAATAAACAAAAAAAAAAACAGAAAAATTTTAAAAATATAACACCATAATTATAAAAAAATATAACAAGATAAATATAAAAAATAATAAAATATAAATATAAAAAATTTAAAAAAATATAAAAAAAAAAAATATAAAAATATATAAAAAAAAATATAAAAAAAAAATAAAAAAATATAAAAAAATAAATTAAAAAAATAAACAAAACTTAAAAAAATAGAAAATAATAAAAAATATTTTTTTTAATATATATAAAATATAAATTTTTTTTTTAAAGAAATATACAAAAATATAAAAATATAAAAAATAAATACATATAAAAAAATAAAAAATATAAAATAATAAAAAAGTATAAAAAAATATAAAAAATTTATAAAAAAATAAAAAAAAATATAAAAATATATAAAAAATATAAAAAACTATAAAAATTAACAAAAAAAAAATATAAAAAAAATATAAAAATATATAAAAAATATAAGAAACTATAAAAAGAAATAAAAAAATATAAATAAATATAAAAAAATAAACCAAATTTAAAAATATAGAAAATAATAAAAAAAAGTTTTTTTTAATATAAAGAGTATAAAATTTTTTTTAAGAAATATACAAAAATATAAAAATGTAAAAAATATATATAAAAAAATGCATATAAAAAAATAAAAAAAATATAAAAAAATATAAAAAAATATAAAAAAATATAAAAAAATTTAAAAAAATATAAAAAAATATTAAAAAATTTAAAAATATATATAAAATATATGAAATAATGTAAAAAAATATAAAAATAAAAAGATTTAAAAAAGTAGAAAATAATATAAAAAATTAAAAAAAATATAAAAATATATAAAAAATATAAGAAACTATAAAAAGAAATAAAAAAATATAAATAAATATAAACAAATAAACAAAATTTAAAAATATAGAAAATAATAAAAAAAAATTTTTTTAATATAAAGAATATAAAATTTTTTTTAAGAAATATACAAAAATATAAAAATGGCCGATGGCCCAAGCTGCTAGTTGCCTTCTATGTAATGTAATTATTAATAATTATATTTCACTCAAATAAATAAATAAATAAAAATAAAAAATTTAAAAAAATATAAAAAACTATATAAAAAAATGAAAAAAATTAAAAAACTATAAAATATAATTACAAAAAACTTGAAAATAAATAAAAAAACTATAAAAAAGCATAATAAGAAATATAAAATTTTTTTTTAAATATTTAAAAGAAATATACAAAAATATAAAGCAGTATAAAAAAAATAAAACTAATAAAAAAATATAGAAAGCTTAAAAAATAAATAATAAAAAAATTAAAAAAGGATAAAGCAATTAAAAGAAAATAAA